AGTCACTATGAGTTGGAACCAACACAATAGTACTTAACAACAGCAGGTGTTTTACTAAGGAGCCCTGGTGGCACAGTACCTAAGCACTTAGTAGCTAAACAAAAGACTGGAGATTAAAATCCATGATCAGCTCCATGGGAGAAAGACATGGCAGTCTGCTGTTGTTAAGATTTATAGTGTTATAAACCTCACGGAGAAGTTCTACTCTGTCCTTTAAAGTAGATATGAGTTAGCAATTACTTGATGACAAATGGCTTCAGTTTCTATGTTTGTTTACTTTACCTATCTTACCTACCTTGCTCTTCATGATCCTTGAAATGCCACCAATATCCTTTGGAGGGATGATATCGACAGTATGACATAGCTTCATCAAAAGCTGACTGAATGCCATGCACTGCAGTAAGCTTAGAAAAAACAGAAAGAAATATTACCTATTCAAAGGAAATCAAAATATTACATATGCATAGACATGAATTTTCTGATTTTCCTAAGTTGCTATTTTCACGAATTATGGTATACCCCTTTATCACACAACTAGCCCATAATAAGAGGATTCAACACATTTAAATAGTTAATGTACATGAGTAAAGGGAGTTAATGTTTCATTCTTGGAAACAAGCATCTTAATTAAAAATATGCGTTAATGTTTAAGGAATGAGAAGACACTTACCACTCTGGAATTTATAACTGAGCCCAAGTCTGGTGCCTGATAAATCACTCCAGCAATGATGTAATAATCAGCTAGAGGGATAACTAGAACAGAGGGAGAAAATGGTTATGAAGACAGCGATGGACACAAACTGCTAAACAGACTTAGCTAAAATTTTACATTATTAAATCTTAGAGCCGGGTTTGGCAATACATGACTTTATAAATAAAAAAGTTTTACTGCAACATAGTCATGTCAACTCACTTACTATTATCTAGACATACAAAGCAAAAAGATATTCACACTGATCCTTCATGGAAGAAGTCTGCCAACTTCTGCTCCAGAGTATTGTTTCTCAAATCTGAATATGCATCTGATTCACCAAGATCTTGTTAATATTTTCTTCTTTCAGTAAGAACTGTGCATTTCTAATATGCTTGCAAATGATGCCTGTGCTGCTAGTCAAGCACACTTTCAGAGCAAGACCTCGGGGCACATTAATGATACCACCATTCAAGCTCTTCTCCAGCTCTGTCTTTTATTTTATACAGGTGAGAATGTAGCACTAATATGCCTTTTCTATTATAGTATTAACTTCTTAAAGAGATTAAATACTGTTATTTACCACACTAGAGTATTATGTACATAGAATATGTACAAAAGAAAAGTTTATCAGTCTTCTATTGATTACCATGTAGGACAGTTCCAATTTTTCATTGTTATAAATAATGCTATGATGGATACCCTCATTTCAAAAACCTATGTGTAACAGCAGGAAAATGGGAACAGTCCAATTGTCTATCACCAAACAAATGGACTGAGAAATTATGATACATTCATACAAGGGAATACTATGTAGCATTAACAAGCAATGATTTCACTATAAAACATGGAAGAGTTAAATCAGTCTCATAAGGACAAATACTGTGTAAAACCATTACTGTAAAAAGCAAAGGGTAACTGGTAAGATGTGTATAAAAGTACAAAAGGGGAAAGGGAGGAGGACAGGTAGGCAGAGAGAGAGTGTGTGTGTGTGAGGACTGTGTATGAGAGGAAACACTAGGATAACACAGTTTGGTGGGTGGGTGAGAGAAAGGTAAAGGAAATTTAAAAAGATCCAACTGGGACCTGAAGAGACAGGGTAATATTAGACATAGATCAATGGTGATTAATTTTACAAAACACAATGTATATGAATGATCGTATGAAATACAATATGAAGAAATGTGTGAAAACACAATGTATATGAATTTTTTATGCAAACCAGTATTTTTTTAAAAAGTGAAAGAACATTATAAATAGGATATTAAAGGACTAAATAATTAAGTCCTTGTTTCCACAGCAAAACAAACAAACAAACAAAAAAACCCAACAAAAAAGGAAAATCCTATGTGTTGTGTCTGTTAGTCAAATTCTTAAAAGTAGAAATGTATCAAATGGTAAGTGCATTTTAAATTTTAATAAACACTGCCATCAATAGTTTTTAAGATGTCCATATTATCTACCTAAATTCTAAGAATTTATCAGAAAATAAAAAGATGTTATAGACACAACGGCTATAAATATTAGAGTAATGTTTGTATCACTGTTCTGTACTGTTGCTGCTGTTGTACTATTGAGTCAGAACTGTCCCATAGCTAACTCTCTGGTGGGTTTTCAGAGGTAATTAATTAAACAGGAGGAGACTATTCATCCTCCTCCTATGGACCAACTGGTGGATTCAAACCACTTGCCTTAGAGATTGCGGCACAGTTGCTTACCACTAGGCCATCAGCTACAAAAATTATATTTATATGATAAAAGAGTCCTCAAAAACAGAAATCAGACCTTAATGCAAATGTTCACAGTATTATTCATAACAACCAAAATCTGGGAAAAAGGAAATCATTCTCATCAAATGACATATCAACGTGTGATATACCAATATTATGAATAATTAAAACAATCACAAACACAAGAGTTATTGTTGAATCAATTCCAGCAGTGAATCAGAACCAACTCAGAGCTGACTCTCCTTTGGGTTGAGGCTGTGAACAGCACAGGAAGCCCATCGTTCTCCCACAGAGCTCCTTGGATCACATCACCAGAGAAGTACAGCTTTTTTATTGGCAGTACAACTCACTACAGTTAATGCTATCAGAGCTCCAGAAAACAAACTCACAGGACTAAAAATAAAGAACCGGATGACAATTAACTACAAGGAAACAGAGGGACTAAGATGTGTAGTTACATAACTTCCAAATGGAAAAAATAAGGTGATTTCAAAATAGTGAACTGTTTTAGATAAGGGAATAAAACCATATAAACCTTCTCATGAAAATGAAAAAGAGGAAAATCATAAAGACTTTAAAAGTTAGTCAATCACAGTCACTACCAAAAAGTGATATGAAAGGAGGATGAGGGGACTAAATATTAATAAATAATATCTCAAGTGAAGGGGAAGGCAACATATAATAAGAGGCAAATCAGACACTGTAATTAACTAATTATAATTAACATCATAAAGTAAAATGAGCATGAATAAAACAATAATGATTTGTAAACTTTCAAATTTAAAAAAAAGAGAAGGAAAAAAACCCTACATATGTCCTGTGTGCTTGTCATTAAATGCAAGTGCCTAAAGCTTATTACATAGTTTACCTTGAGTAGGTGACTGCCGTTGCTGCTTACGAATAATAAAAAGAATTGGTTCTTGAGCGTGGAGAAGGATGTATTCCACTCCAACCATCTGACTGAAAACAGAACAAAGACAACTAGGAATCTCTGAACACACCATAGGTCACCAAAATTGCTTTATCAGTCTACCAACATTGTAAACAGAATTAAAACATTTTAGGTTTTCGGTTAAGAAGAACTGGTAAGCACAATGATTAAGGGCTTGGGGCTAATAAAAAGGCAGGTAATTCAAACCAACCAACTATTTGGCATTTGCTTCTATAAAGATTTCAGTCTTGGAAACTTTATGGGATAGTTCTATTATGTCCATAAGCCAGAATTTACTTATGGCAATGTATTTTAAATGTTGGCTGTTTAAAAAAACAACTCATTTAAAGTGTCTCGTTCTCCAGGTAAGTAACAGACATAAAAACAATTTGGTTTTTATAAAACTTCTCCACAAAATTCATACTTTTCAGTCATGAAACTCTATTGTTGGTCATTTCAAAAAAGAAGTAAAATGCTAAATCTTGACAAAGATCTACTAATACACGTAAAATATCAAATCATGCACAGCCATACATATTTTATCCCCAAACGTTGTTGGTGGGTGCCATCCAGACGGAACATGACCCTCCAGCCATTTTTCAGAGGTTGTTAATTACACAGCAAGGAAACTGCCCATCATTCGCTCACACAGCAGCTGGAAGATTCAAACTGGCTGCCTTTGGGCTGGCAGTACAATTCTTTACCCACTGGGCCACCAGATTTCCTTAGGCTAATCCGAATAAAAGTTACATATGAGATAACATGTTTAATAGCAAACATAAATTGACCCAGAATGCTTAAGTCCATCAGCAGTCACTGTGTCAGTGTCATGCTGCAGGTCGTCTTGTTGCTCTGCTTTTCTAAGTGTGATGTCTTTTTCCAAGGACTGATTTTTTTCTGTCTGATAAACTGCCCAAGTATGTCAGAAATCTAAACATCCTTGCTTTTAAGAACCATGGATAGACTTTTTTTCAACAGAGTGTGCTTTGGTTGCTATTAATGTGCCATCCAGTTACCTGCAACTCAGAGTGACCCTGTGTACAACAGCTCTGGACCCTGTCCTATCCTGTGCCAATCTCACTGTCTCTGACACACCTGCCCCTATTACCCCAGTCACTGTGTCAATCCATCTCATGCAAGATCTTCATCTCCTGTGTTCTTTCCCAATAGCACAAGTCAAAGACATCAATTCTTCTTCATTATTCATTGTCCAACTTTTATACGCATATGAAGCAACAGAAAATGTTCAGTTCAGGCACCTAGTCTTTAAAAGGACATTTTTGCTCTGCTCTCTCAACAAGTCCCTAGTAGGAGGTTGGCACAAGTGCAGTATTTCATTTAATCTCTTGACTGCTGCTACCACACGTGTTGATTATAGATCCAATAAAATTAAATCCTTGATAACTCAAATATTTTCTCCATGTATCATGATACTACTTTTTGGCTCAATTGTGAGGATTTCTATTTTCTTTACATTAAGGTATAATCTATACTGAAGGCTACAGTCTTTTATCTTCTCCCTAAGTCTACTCTCTCTGTGAATTACCATGGCCTTAACTTCTGGCTTGGCAAGGCTTTTTGCTCCCCCCCCCCCCAAAAAAAAAACAACAACAACAATAAAAAAAAACCAACCCTCATGTATCGAAGGTTTTGTTTTCTGGTCCAGAAGCTGGACCAAAGAGGAACTATTCCTTTCTTGGAGCTCTTTACCCTTTAAGCTGTCTATCCAAATTTAGGGAGCAGGCAGAATCTGTTTATAAATAAGGTCTTAAAGTTTAACCTTACATTAGCACCAAGGAGGTCACAGAGCACTTTAAATACTCTTCATTTTCAGGAAGCAAGGTTGTGTCACCTACTACTTCTGCAGGTTGCTGATGAGTCTTTCTCCAATCCTGGTACATTCTTCCTCTTACTGTCTAACTTCTAGAATTACCTGCTCAGCATACAGACTAAATAGGTTTGGTGAACAGAAACAGCCCTGACCATGCAGCATCCCCCTGTTCTAAATGAATGTTTCTTGATTTATGTACAAGTTCTACATGAGAATAATGTTTTCTGGAATTTCCATTCTTCTCAGTATTATCCATAATTTATCGTGAGCCACACAGTTGAATGCCCATGTAAACACCTTTCTGGTATTCTTTGCTTTCAGCCAAGATTCATCTGACATCAGCAATGATATCTTTCATTCTATTGTCTCTTCTGAATCTTGTTAATGTACTTTTCTAGTCATCTTTGAAAAATTTCCTGCAAGATTTTACTTGGATGTGATATTTAGTGATATTATTCTATATTCTTTGGATAATCTTTTTTTGGCAATTTTTGAATGGATACAAATATGGATCACTTTCAGTTAACTGACCAAATAGTTATCTTCTCAGTGCAGCCTAGGCATCTTCCTTCAATACCACTGGTTCTCAATCATAGGCAATTCCTGAAACAGTTCCATAGTGACCAACTAATTCTGGTACAGTGACTGTGTATTCCTTCCACCTATGTCGTTCATTATTTAGCCTAAAGAATCCTTCAGTATCGCAAGTAAACAGTGGAATTTCTTCTTCAGTTCTTTCAACTTCAGAAATTTCATCCCTCTTGGTTTTCTGCCTCTAGATTTTTGTACATTTCTTTATATAACACTTTGCAAAGTCTTCCCCAGGTGTCCTCTGAAATCTGGTCTTTACATTATTCCTTCCTTTTGCCATAGCTTCTGTATGTTAAAGAACAAATTTAAAAGCCTCTTCTGACATCCATTTGTGGTGCTGGTTAAGAGTATTGAATATACCATGGACCGCTAAAAGAACAAACCAGTATGTCTTAGAATAAATGTATCCAGGTTGTTCCTTTGAAGTAAGAATGAAGAGACTTTGTCTCCAATACTTTGGGCAAGCTGTAAGAAGTGGTCAGTCCCTACAAAAGGACATCATGCTTGAAAAGGTGGAAGGTCAGAGAAGTTAGAAGATGACTGTCACTGAAATACTCACTACAACAAGGGGCTTAGGCCAAAAGACTGTAAGGCTGGTATATGATTGGGCAAGATATGTTGTACAGAAGGTCACTAAGAGATGATTCAACAGTACTAAACAATAAACCTTTGTTTCTTACTCTGCATGCCAATCACCAGTTAAACAGTACACCGGGCTTGTATGTTCAATTTCAGACTGCAAAGTTGGCAAGAATCTTTAATTTCTTCATCTTTTATCTTAGTAGGTGGTGTGTAAATTTTAATTAAGTCATCTTAACATGTCTTCCTTGCATGTGTGTGGATATATCCTACCACTAACCACACTGTACTTCAGAATAGATCGTGACATTGTCTTTGTGATAATAATATGTGAAATTTAGAAGTTACAATTACTAATAACTGCCCTTTAGGCCATGATTTATACAAATCCAAACAAAACACCAGTTCTTTTTCCAAAACTCTTTGAATTTCATAATGAATTAAAGTCTTCACTAAACAATCCTAATTGAAAATATACTACCTTCTCAAAACAACTTACTTCAAGTGTTCTAATGTTAGTCTCTGCATTTTGACTACTTCATTGTTGCATGTCCTGTCATAGAAAGGGTTGCTTCTTTCTGAAAAGTAATCCAGGACACTACTACTGTTCAAAATGGGGATCCAGGCACTGTCAACCCATGAGATTCCCAGCAGGTTATCTATAAGAAAAAAAAACAAAGTGGTGATAAGAAAAAAATAATTTAATCCAACAAACATTATTATGCATCTTATACTGCAGGCATTATGCATACAAGGATCCCAAGGGTCCTTGTCCATTGTCTACTGATTCTTGATTCTTCTTCGGTTTTCCACTAAAATACTCCATGAACTGCAAAAAGACAAATATTTCCTGGGGAAAGTGCAGTCAGGGGGCTCTCTGGAGGCAAGGATAGTGAGGCTCAGTCTCACATATTTTGGGCATGTCACTAGAAGCCAGTCCATGGAGCATCAGTGAAAGAGAGAAAGACCCTCAGTGAGATGGATTACCACAACACGTGCAGCAATGGGCTCAAGTATACCAGAAATGATGAAGATGGGTTACCATGGGTGCAAGTCAACCTGACGACACTTAACAACATTACCATGGGTGTTGACTGTGAATCCAAGTAAAATTAAATCCTTGACAACTTCAATCTTTTCTTACCTATCATGATGTTGCTTTTAGTCCAGTCATGAGGATTTTTGTTTTCTTGATGTTAGGAGGTAACTGAAAGTTAGTCTTTGATCTACTGCAATAAGTGCTTCACATCCTCTCTAATTTCGGCAAACCAGGTTGTGTCATCTGCGTAACACAGGCTGCTGCTAAGTCTTCTTCCAACACTGAGGCCAGTGTTCATAGAGTTAAGTTTCTCAAATGATTTGCTAAGCAACAGATTCTACAAGTATGAAGAAAAGATACAACCCTGATGCACACGGTTTCTGATTTTAAACCATGCATTGTTCCCTTGCTCTGTTCAGACAACTACTTCCTGGTCTATGTATTGGTTTCTCATAAGCAACGTTTAAGTTGTTTGGGGATTTCAATTCTTCTCTATATTAGCCATAATTTGTTATGCATAAACAAAAGCCTTTGCATAATCAATAATACATAAGTAAATATCTTTCTGGCGGCTGGCTTACTGTGATAGCTTGCCTGTAGTGATGCCAGAAGCTATGTTATTTCAAATACCACTGGGTAACTAACTCATGGTGGACAGATTTCTATTATTATCTTAGAGGTAACAGACTAAGAAGCAAAACCGTTATGTTTTTTAGAGCACCTCAGTTACTCTCTCATACCACTACACTCACGGTGGACTTTCTATCGAACACAAAAGCCTTTTAAATGACTCTAATTAAAGTTTATAAAGTCGTTATGTTTTTAGAGCACCTCAGTTTCTCTCTCACACCACTATACTCATGGTGGACTCTATCGAACACAAAAGCCTTTTAAATGACTTTAATAAGTTTATATATAAAATACTCGAAGACTATTATTTTCTGAAGGGACTTGGCAGATGAGAAGGGTTATCCTGGTTGAGGGTGGAGCTGGGAAGTAAGTGGGTAAAGGCTCTGGGCTAAGGGTGGGGTCAACACTGTAACTAATGCTTAACTCCACAATAAGGGATTTATCTTTCACTGCTTCACAAATTGCTGTCTGTCAGATAC